CGCAGTTCAATATGTATGCGGTAATATCGGTACTCATATCTTTTCAAAACGATAAGATAAATGGATGAGATATATGATGACACACAGATAATACAATAATAACGTTAAGCCGTACATTAACGAACAGAATTCAGCTAAGCTGTTATAAGATAATATTACGTATTTATATGCCGTGACAATATAAAGCTTTGCATAGTCTTAAAATATTCTTCTTAATTTAATATAACATGTATTCTATACACTTAGAATGTCACAGCTATATTACAATGTGTACTACATCTTATCGATTTAGACATGAAGATTATGCAATTAAATATTTTTTTAATTTTTGCAAGTTGTATTAATAGCATATGTATAATCATATTAATCTAACTATATCTATCCTATATCTCTATAAGTTCTATGTTGCTACATATACGGTTTAAATGATTAAGACAGGAGCAATAATTTAAAATTTCAATAAATCTCCTGATGAAAAGATATTTATATTCGAAATGTAAACGGATTATAATAAGCTTGTTGCTAAATAACATATTGAAATTTAAAAACGAGTTTAGCAATGGATTTGCGCAATATAAAAATATGATACATTTGAAATACAGATATTTAAAATAAATTCAGAAGTTATTTAATACGTAATGTGCATTGAAATCTTCCATTTTCATATATTTTTTATATTTACTAAACTGCAATTCTAATATAAAAATTATATATATTTCTGTAAGATTATTTAAAAGAGGTATTAATCTTTAAGGAGAAATTCGTTTACTTATAAATTTTATATTGTCTCGAAGAGCATCGCGAAAGAAGGGAAGATTCGCGCGCTGTGACTGTGAAATCGCCGAAACGAAGTTAACCCAAATCCATACATATCGTAACGGTGTTTTCGAGGGAACGAATTATCGGACGACCCATTTTCACCCAATGTCGCACTACTCCTTTTTGACCGTTTGCCGACGTGGAAATGATAACACACGCCTGCCGGGCGTCAAAGAGGAAAAATGGCGTTTGCCGGATGTCGATAAGACTCGCTTACCGCGTTTCACGAGCCGAACGGGAATGTCGTCTCCTGACGTTCTACCCTACGTTGCGGTATTTACGCGTCGACGGTAGCGCGAACTTCTGCGAATATTTAAAAAGTTATCTGTTCAACCCCGTAACTTTCTCACCTGGACCGAGTTTTCGGACGTCGATACACCTCGGACGTCGCGCGCGCGCCCGCGCAAAAGTTAAGCGCGGCGCAAATTTGCGTTTCAGAAAGTTTCGTTCACACCGTTCACAAGTCTCGGCTAGACCTCTTGGCACGTCCCAAAGTTCCATCTTTGAAACAAAATTTTATTCAACGAACTAAACAAAAATTCACTCGAATAATCTAATTTTATAGATGTATATCTAAATAATTCAAATAATTGACATATTGCTTTCCAGACTAAAAAAAAGTTTTAAGACTTCAACATTCAAAATTTTATACATGCAAATAGAAATCTGCAAATCTATATCAAAATTGAAATATTTAAATCAGAGATGAATGCCCGAGAAGAGAAAACTCTCTCTATTCTCTGAGGAGACAGAAATCGGGAAAATTGATTTTATTTTCATTGCACTATTTAAATGAAACTTGGGTAGTCGTTTCTCGTATGCACAAATATTCTTAGCACAATTAAATAACAGATACTTATAGAATTCTTCAGAGATATCTCTGCCTCACTAAATAAACTAATCGCGTTAAGAGCTACGACTAAAAGACAGCAAAATGAGCCTCAATCATTTACAGGCTTGATTCGCTTCAGCTGTCGTTAACACGAAAAGGCGAGGAGAGGCACGAAAGGCACAGATTACCCTACTTCCTTTGAGCAAACGTTGCCAAAGAACGAAGACCGATCTGTATGTTTGACTTCACCAGAACGTAGCCGTTTGATTATACTACACCCGTCTAATATTATACCTTCGCTGTTCCGGCAGACTCTCAGGCTGCATTGTACGCAAATTTAATGCCGCGTAATAGCACATGCGCGCAGCAGGATCTACCTCGGTAATCCCCTTCAAAATTTCAACGGCGGTGTTATATGCAAGCCGCACTGTACGATCGTTAGAACGCGTAACGGGTAACGCGTAAGTCGGATTGTGCTCAATCGCTTGTTATGCGCAAACTGCCGATGCAGTTGGGCTGAAGATGTGACGTAATGCTGATTCTCTCGTAACGCGCATTCCTGCGTATACAATATAGCGCTGCAAGAGAGTTACTCGGAAAGTAGCTTTACTTGCTGGATAAAAAATTAAAATGCGTGAATTATGAAAGCATTACACTACGCGAAACTACGGCACGTGAATTGCATGAATATTCTTTCAGACATTAATTTCAGAATAATAAAAAATATACGGACCCTTCAAAAGTTGAATCTTGGTATAATGAAGTGCTATTTCATTTTCATCTTGCTCTTATGTTACGGATGATCTAACGAGACGTCTCTCATATATTTCAAATTTAATATCAAATGTTCCGTATGCTCCAATTTGATATCAATCTTCCTCGATAATAAAAAAGAATATTATTTATCAAGAGATTCAATTTTTAAAATTAAGTATTTTTTTTAATAGCCCTTAAATTAAAATACATATTTACCAAGGAATAGATTTATGTTCTAAAAATTAATAAGAAAAATATTTGATGAAAGAGATTACCACATATCGTCTTTTTCAATATTTTTTCAAAAAAGAATAAAAATACTTTACATGTTTTCTAAAGATTCGGATAGTGGCTCGTTGTAATTACGGTTGAAACACCTCATATATCGAGCAAGATTTGGCAACAGACAGAATGGAAATATGTTAATTTTAGAAAATTGCGTATTTTTCTCTTTGATCGTCCTGTACACTAAATAGTAAATAGCTCTCGCTATACGTGGTGCGAATTCTATAGGTGGAAACCCACTGGGGAATTTACCGCGCCGTTAATTTTACGGGGGTACGGCTGGTGAGAGCACATGGAACAACCTTCTCGAACGTGGAGCATCCACAGGTTGTCGTCTGACCTAATCTGACCTAACCCAAGTGATTAAGGACGTTGAATCAATGGAGAGAAGACGAGGAGGTTTCAAGGGCAATGTATCTCTTGTCAAATCATTATCCTTTTATTAAATCATTAGCCTCCTCAAACGAAGAAACTTGTTGAGTTCCGTCGAAGCGCAAAATGCCCAGCGAAATATAAAAATCTGAAATTTCTTCCTGTAATCTGAAATATTGGATTGAGCAAATAAATAGAAAATTTTTCGGTCATCGGGCAGATTGTCAATTCAATGCTGTCATATCAGATCGAAACGCACCAATGAAATAACCGATATCCAGCTTTTCAACTGGAATGTTCTATAATATTTTCTGTATAACATCAATTTCTCAAATATAACAAAATTTTTAAGATTTTTTATTTTAATTGTAAATCATTTTTAATTTTTTATTAATATCAATGTATTTTAAAAATGTGAGAGAGAGAGAGGATACTAGTTTTATGAAAGGGTTGCACTGTAAGACCAATAATTGATGTGCAATTCTATGTATTGTTAATATTTTCCGAACTCAAGCATCGATATTAGACTGACGATTGAAAAATTTATTTATTTTTTATTTATTTATTCTATACTGTGTACACCAGATGTCGGTCGCTATTTGCTTTTTCGAAATATTGAAGTTACTGCGAGCTTTACAGAACGTTCTTGCATCGTTAAATTCATCTCTTACGATCTCTTTGAATAAAAGCTCGTCTTGCTCGTTTGTGACTCGATGGTCATAAAAATTGAAAGTAATTACATTAGAGAGTTTTGTCAATTGTAAAAATTGCCGTACAAGTCTTGCAACAACATTGTATACATCGCGAATTGCTCTGAAACCAATAGATTCGTATCTCAATAATAGCAGAATTATATTTCGAGGAGAGAGAAACAACAGTTCTTATTTTCCTTTTCGGTTTCGTCTTGGCAAAAAATCCAGCTTTCGATTCTCGTAACTCGAGAAGCTCCCGCGAGAAGCTTGATGGCAAACGACAACGTTTTAGATCAAATTTTGGTCTTGATAAATTCGTTGCCGTACACGCTCCGTTGTTCCTAACCATTGGAGGTAGGCTCGCAAAGGTGGAATCAATACGTGAACCTACAACCATCTCTACGTACACAATGCCAGCCGGCCAAGCTCGAGAGATGTGTATATACTACCTCGTATCTCTCGTTTTCTCCGTCGACACTGTTGCTCAATGGTTGTGGTCCTCCCCTTGTGTATGTTCCTCTTTAAACCCCTTCTTTCTCCCTTTCCACTACCAACTCCTCCGCATGTGTCTTCACTCTTATTTGCGCCGATTTTCTTTGCCTAGTATATTTTTTCTCTTTCCTTTTTTCTCTTGTACTTTCATGATAATGCAAAATCCTACCGGGTGAATACCAGCTCCCCTTTTGACGGCGCGCCTTCATTCTGTTCCAGGAAATTCAGCGCCGTCACTCCATTTTCGAGCCCAGTCAGCGCACGTTGGCCGACACAGTTCGGTAAACAAATGCTCTCGATGTGATTTATAGCTTATGCACTTTCCTCTCCTTGAAATATTTGCAAGCAGTTTAGTTCCTTCAAAGTTGTGATTGTGATTTTCTTCCTGTTTGTTCTTCTCTATTATCAAAATTATTACCGTTAGTTTAATATTTACAATTGAATCGGTAATCATTTATCGATTAACTCAAAAAGATAAATCGATAAATAGATAAACAATATCTTTTATTCTCCCTATATTTTACTCTCGATGGTAGAACGCAGTAACAGTTCATTTTACAGAAGGCCTCTAGCTTCAGGACTTAAATCTCTATATCTTTGAGAATGTTCGCAAACAATTTATATAGACATCTCGCATTCAGCTCACATACAATTTGCAGAGTATCAGCATTCAGCTTGAATCCGCAAACCTATATATTTCTCCTTCTCTTTCCGGCGCGTGTGTAACGATAGTGAATCTGTTTGATTTGCAGGAATGGGGAGTGTCGGCAGCAACGTGACAGGGACGACGACGACAGATCCGACGACGTTCCTGCCCGACGCAACGCCGACTCTAAGCGAACGCGAACAGGTCAAAATCGAATTTTACAAAACGTACGATGTTATGACGGGGGTGCGGATCGCCGCGACCCTCGGTGGCTTTTTCAGCTTAATGGTGTTGCTGGTAGTTTACAAGAGCAGGTGATTTTTAAGGATGTTTAAACCAGCATTTGCATCGCCGTTAAAATACAATTAGAATATATGGCTTATATATTTATCAGATGCAAAGCGAGTAAACAACTGGAAGACCCGGCTTTGACCGCGGCGGCAGCCGCGGCGGTCGCGGAAGCTGAAGCTGAGGAACGCGCGCTCGCCGCCGCTCTCGAAGCGATCGCCAGGTTACCACCCAGGCCGGGACGTGGTCCGAGAAGATCATTGTGCGTCGAGGTATATGCGAAGTAGCTTAAATTATATTTCCATTAAAATAATTAGCAAGTATCTAAAATGTAGTATACCCTTCTAAAAGTGGCATGTATCATTAGAGTTAGAATATTAACAAAATCGTCAATGTTCTACTTCTGAGAAATTAAATGATGTATTTAAAAGTTGTTTCTTCTTTAATATCTGCAAAAAATTATAAAATTTCTTGCGTTATTAATATGTTGTCGATAATCATCGAATTATGGCAATTTGTATTTAATAGTACATGTAGCGTAATTAAAGAGCGTTTACGAAAAGATTACTTTATTGAAACATCACCAGTGATTGGATCGTGCAGTTTTCAAGTAGTATAGCTTTGCACTTTTTCGATGGAACGTAAAAATTTTGAGCTGATGCCAAAAATGCCGTGACACATTTCAGAGAGTGCTCTCTAGTTAACAGAGTATTGTTCAGTTTGTAATTTGTCCGTTCGCCAAGCACTTGTAATTGATAGAAGATATTTACATCAGATGAACCAGTCTCATTTACCCGCGGTGGCACCTCGCTTCGCCTCGGTCGGAGGTGGATACGACGCCCTGCTGGCACCGCCAATCAGGCAACCGAGGTTGGCTCCCCCGGTCGATTACAGAAGATGCAGCTCGGTCACCTGTAGCAGCACTGGAAGCAGTTATCTGGAACGAAGGGGTTCAGCCATGGTAATGCCGTGCCTTCCGCCTCCTCCATCTTACCCGCGTCACGCCGCCTACGATGAGCCATGGGATTTATATTACCCTATCGATATCCAGGTATATACCCGATATTTGCGATCGCATTATCTCTCAAAACGATTTCTCCTAATCTTAATTCTTCTCAGTCTTGAGTTTACTTGTAGACATTGAGAGATAAATTGTGCATCTCTTTTTTGAATCTTTACTCATTAATTATTTTAAATAATAATCAAGATTACTATAATTCTATAACACTGGCTTTACTATTCCATTCTGTATGAATTACAATTTAGCTCACCTGTTACAAACAATAAATAAAAATTAGTTAAAACTCGCAGTTAAATCTAAAGAACATCATGAGATGTTATATCATTCAAAATTTACTGAAAATTTCTATGATGCAATCAGGTAATACAGCCAACTCCAGATTTATCGCCATGCGGTAGCGAGGTCGGTCTTTATGCCGGTGCAGTCGGTAGCCTTATGGCGGCGTCGTCGGGTAGAAGAGCGCCGTTGGCATCGATGGGTAGCGTGGATCCCCCCGATCCGGACACCAGGTCGCTCGGCTCCGATTCCGTCTTCCTGAAGAACGAGGACGAGGACCAGTGCATCGACACTGAGGACGAAGTCTCGGGTTTTTCCACGGACTCGGACGCGCCTGGGCCAAGCTGTCGGCGGTTCCTACGGGTGCCTTCTAGGAAAAAGCGGATCCCCGAGAAATGGGACGGATGCGCGGGCTGCGTGCCCAGGCGACGGATCGGTAGTAAACCCTGCCAAGAATGTATGACCATCAGTGCCGCCGTCGAAACCTCCAGGTAAATTTCTATTACAAATTCTCACACGGAAATGAAAGTGTTGCCATCACAGCAAGAGAGTTCATCACAAAAATATCAGACTTTCCACTTTCAATTTTTTAATGGAACAACTGGACTGAAAAAAAATTTTTACAGAATATTTTTACTTCAAAGGAAACGTTATCGAAGAATCTAATTATTGTATAAATAGTTATAAATTTTTAAACATCCAAACACTTGCATCTGCGTTCTTCTGAATTTCTTCTCTTCCTCTTATAATTAAAAAACACTTGTCTTCTCTTCTTTTTTAATTAATAAATTTTTAATAATAGGTCGCAACCAGCCTCAACGACAACCAGTAGCAGTCAGAGTAGCGTGGGATCTCCACCGTGTTCACCGCCGATCGAGCTGAGGCACAGACCACCACCAACGCCATTACCATCAATCCCGCCAATATGGTCCCAAGAAACGCTCTTTTAGGATGCGTTTTTCGTAGTGAGCATGTCCTTTGACCTGTTTTTATCGAGATACAAAGCTAAATCCAGAATGTCTGAGGAAATCATTTGCTCGAAAAATTGAACATTATCTGATCTTTGACCGCCTTTATACCACTAGAAAATAATTTCTTTTTTTTCTTGGAGCCTGTCGCCATTAAAATATATTTTACGTGCATTTGAAGGTTTAATCGCGCGTTATATATCGGTGAATTCAATTATAATTCACGGATACAACAATTGTCGCGTATGAAATTGTTAAAAATATTTTTAAAAAATTTAAATTTTTATGTAACGAAAATAAAAGCAAACAAAATTATATCATCGGATATCATAATCTTTACGAATGGCAAGAATAAAGAAAAGCTACATAAAGTTAACCGATGAAGGAAAAGGGAGAAAATCTTACATAGCGAGACGGGAGAAGAAGAACGAAAGCTCGGAAAGTATTTTCCGAGTGCGGGGAAATATCGGAGATTTTCGATATTACGGCGGTGACTCCTGTCCGCCGGAACCGGAGCAAACCCATCTTAAGGTCTAAATCGAAGGCTTTTTACGTCGACAGTGTAGTAGACTCCATGACAAGCACGGAACTCGGGTCGGGTTACCCGCTCGTTTAAAAGACGCGTTCTACGACCCGCGAGACGCGAGACGAGGCCGACGACGACTTAGTCTAACTATACCTGAGATCTCATCTAACGACGTATTTCAGTCGTCTGCCTGCTCCGTCATGCTTCAGAATTAGTTTGCGAACAATGCATACGCGCGCGTGGTCGAGTTATCTGAAAGTTTACATAACTGCATTGCGAATATACCCACCAGCATCCCGAGAAAGTGCGCGCAATTTATCTGACATGGTAAGCCATGCTCCATAATCTTATTTATACAATTAGTCGAAGAAGATTGGACGACTTGATTATTTTCCGTCTCACTCAGCCTCGTATCCTCCTCGACGAATCTCTTCGTACGAGCAGGCGCACATCGACATTATCCGTGATCCATTTAACAACGAAAGCAAGCAAATGCACTTCCTCGCTTAAGACATTCGTGGCGTCCTAATTGGCGTTCGTGATGCCGTTCAAGATCGTGAGATCTCGAGCGGCCGAACTTTGGGATAAGGACGCATGGTGATCTATATCGCACAAAGGAACATCCGAGAAACGAGAAACTCGTTCCGATCGATCAGGGTGAACCCGCGTATAACTCGCAACTCAGGAGACTGTCGAAGGAAGGCCGATCGACAATGTCAAGGGGGAAATAGGGAATTATTTTTATACAAGCGCGACGATAATCAAGCTCGTTGAACTGATCGTGATGCTTCTCGTGAAAACAATAATACGCTCGCAATACTCGATTGTATGATGTCAGTGTAATAATGTGATTGTCAACGAGACGAGCGGATGGGAGAGTGAAATAGAAAGAAAAAAGAGAGAGAGAAATCTGAGAGTGAAAGAGAGAGAGAGAGAGAGAGAAAGAGAGAAACGGGGGAAACAGCATTTCGTTCGGACAATCGAACCGGTTTTTCCTGTCACGATTTTCCCGGCAGGGCAAACCGCCGATTCGCCGTCGATCCGACACGTTTCTCCTCGCGCGAGGAAACAAAACGTATTTCTATTCGTGTAATCTTGTAAGCTCTGTAAGGTTTTGGATGTACGTGTACGTGTCTATAATCCTCTTGCGTACGATAGATAAAACACCGTGCTCGATGGAGGGGAACCGGAAACAGGGCGATTGCCGTAAATGGTCTCAACGAACCAAAGTTGGCCAAGTTCCCTGATCGCTGTACTTGCGAGATGGTCCATTTTATCGGTAGCTCCGCTAAGTTGTTTGGTAAATTTCTATCCGAGTGGGAATATCGATCGATAGGATATATTCCATGGACCCAGAAATCCCCACAATCAGGTCTGTATTTGATCTAAAGAAAAAGTAAGAAATAGATAAAAGAGAAATAAGAGCGAGATTATACGAAATTGTTTTAGTTCTTTACGTCCCCGTCAAATTCAGTGATATTAGCTGACGAGAAGCTCGCTGGGTGTAGAAAATCGAATTTATTAAAATATTAGAGCGCGTCGGTGTAAAGAAACAAAAAAGAGACATGTAGTAGACGAGATATTTATTGTTGACAAGTTGCAACTTGTGTCTATTTTCGATAAAAGATAAAACGTAGTTCAACCAGGCGAGCCATATATGCCTCTATATCTACATCTGGAGACTTTTCCGCGGAGGCTAACATCACTGCCGGTCAGCCCCTCCAGGCACACGACGATAAACGAATAAGAAAATAAAAGCAGAAAATACAGTAAAACACATTTACGTAAAAGCAAAAACGAGCGCACGAGGACTACCGTTATTCTAGCCAAGAGTTTGTACAGTAGACAAATAAGCAAGCCGAGAAGTTATTATATCGGGATAAAAAAAAAAGAAAAAGAGAAGAAATATAATAATGTAATAGGCCACACGCACGCAGTGCTGCGACCGTTACTTTTAGATAGGTGTACATACACGTCGCGTTACGTTGCGTTGAGCGTACACGACATCAGCGACTCGCCCTCGCCGATCGGTAAAAAGCGGAGGGCGGGCGAGACTCTAACGTCGTCTACGCGAGGAAGAGACTTTATATGACGTTGGCTGCGTTCCAAACTTCGCCCCGGAGGTACGAATTTAACAAGCCACAAAACAAGACGCAAAATACGAGAATGTATAGCCGGACGACTATATGAAACTACAGACCCGTGTAATTCCCTCTAGTAATTTATATACGGCTATCTGTTACAGCCATTAGGCAAAAAAAAACGTCAACTTCTGCGAACCTAAGAGAAAGTTTCTCGGAAATGAAGAAAAAGAGAGAGAAAGAGAGACAGCGCGGGGAGATGTCCAAACTTCAAGGAAAACACGTAAAAGTTTCGTGATAAATAAAGGGAAGTCCCTAATTGGATATCGTATGCCTTATTGAATTATTGTTATATATATGTATATATATACGTTTAAAAGCCGACATTTCACTTGAGAATTACGATAACGTCATGAGAAAGTAGTCGTCACAGGAGGCGAAGTTCTAGAACGCGGCTGTAGGAGAACAAAACAGAATTATTATTATCGCGAGGTGCGCTTTGCTATACGCCGACACGCTGACGAATCCGTTCCAATTCGTTTTTTTTTTCTATTGAGACAATCGCATTTCTTTTAACAAATGATACGTTGAAAATGAATAGGAAAGAATCCATTCAAAATTTCTTCGCGAGTCTCTGGCATGAACCTCGTACAGGCGCACATTAGTACGAATAACTATGCATGTAGTTCTGTCAACACTCCAAAAGTAATTCCCGCGTGACGTCGCGTAAATGAAGATCAAGAGTATATATTTCTCTCATTTGCATTCTTAGCGAAATGATTAACCGGGAACAAAGTTCTCAGCGGCGCGTGGCGTGCAGCACGTCGCCCCGTAGTCGCGTAAGACAAGGAGCTTGAAAACTCGCGAGTGCTGCCGAATTGCCAAATGTAACAATCAAACAAGAGTGTCTAGAAATCTAAAATTTCAGAAAGAGCCGAGGATAATCTTATGCGGATATATATAAATATATATATACGCGCGAAAAAAAAAATAGATGCATGAGTGCGCGATTGTACGTGCGTGTGCGTGTGCCAAGTAGTTTAGCACAATTTTAGGCGGGCGGAACGTATATACACATATACATATATGTATATAAATAGGGTGATTGTGAGACTTTTTAGAGACTGTACACGAACGAGTCCGTGTCGATTGATTTTAGTATCTAACGTTCGTACAATCATATGAACCTTTTCTCGGTGCCTTTCTGCTGCACTTCTTCCATCATCGTTTAGAAAAATATACACTTTCTTCACTATCTTCATCAACCATTCTCCTCTCTCTCTCTCTCTCTCTCTCTCTCTATCTCTATCTCTTCCCTCTCTTTCCTCCAATCCTGACTACTTCTTAGAAGTGTTTCCGCGCGACGCCGCAAGGAATCTGAACGTATTAAAGTGAAATCTACGTTTCCTCCTTTCAATTCAATTTTTATCTCTAGCCAAAGTCAGATGTCAAAAATAATTTTATTAAAGAATGTCTAAAAAGCAAAGAACAATAATGGCAGTAGAAAATATATTAATATATGAAAAATATATTTACAGATTTTTAAAAGGTTATAATTACATTGGAAATTATTATTTTGATTAAACTCGTTCAAAAAGTTAGTTGCTAATTTAGTAAAATTGGAAATATAATACTACTTAATTTCTTTTCAACTAACTATTAAAATCAAAAACTTGTATAACTCAAGATTATTTGTATTTTTATTATTTTTGTAATATGTTTATACAGACGTTATTTCATTAAATTTTTGTGAAATCTATTTATTAATTATTAATTTTAATAACTATATTATAACCAATTGTTTTAATCAAAAATAGTGCTTTGTTTGGAAATAATATTTTGCGTTATTGAATATTTTCTGAAATCTTATAGAGAAAGACGAGAACAATTGCAATGAAGCGGCCGCACGGAACCTCTCTCATATTAACAATTAATAGACCTTCGTACTTTTATAATTTTTCTACTCTTTAACGTTAGATACTTTTAAGAGTAAGGAACTGTTACTAGAACTCGCGTTTAGACTCATCGCGCATATATTGATAAAGATAATTATACAACTTCTCTTGGCTTGAATTATTTGTTTTAAACATTGCATTCTTTTCTGGTCATATTGATTTATTAAAGTTACTCATTATTAACAATCTAACAAGTAGAATTATTTTTCTTTAAACATTACAGATAATCTTTAATTTAAGTTTCAAATAATTAGTTTCAAAGAAACTACAAATCCCATTATGTGTAATATCAATCAACAGTCATTCTCTTCATAAATACAATCTTTATCTTTCTCTTTTCCTCCTTTTGTTACATCCACAAATTATGTTCACTTTGCCAAAGTGTTTGATCACATAAATGAATAGTCTATCTTTATTTTATATCTTTACTCTTTTTACTATAGATATGTATGTATATCCTCACAATAATGAGCTTAATGAGATTAATGAATATTGAACTAATGTCAATTTTACATTTATGGACATTTTACCTTTAGAAATTTATAAAAAATGTTTTGGTTAATTTTCCTGCCCCTTCCAAATAATAGGAATATAGGAAACTCAATATTTATTGCATTTCTAATATACCACATGGTTTTCTAATATGTAACGACTGATAATACAATTCCCGATATATACAGGGTGAATCATTATGTAGATACAAAACACAATTAACACGATACAGATTTCTTAAAACAAAAAACAATTTTCCCTTATTCTAAACTAAAGCATTTAGGAACTGAATTTGTCTATAGATGAATCATCCTGTATATAAATACAGGCAATGAAAATTAAAGTTTTGAGAATTTTTTCAGCTTTGGTATAATATAAAGTAAAAGATACTATATCCTCTATATTCTACTATTCTTATTTGCTATGTAAACTTAATAATCTAATTTTTTATACCTTACAGTTTTATTTTATTATGTTTAAATTTAATTACGTACACAATGTTAACGATTTCCTTGTCATAATACCTGTCTCTAATTCTTCATTCTATTTCGAACCCGTAGAGAAATGCTATTTGCTGATAATAAGAAATTTGTATATATTTGCGACTCGTGTCTAATTATGTTTGAACGCTCACTATATTACCACCATATCTCTAGAAAGGTGTACAAAAGCGGGTCGCATGTTTGTTACGCTAATTTCAGCTAATCTGCAAAAAATTATATCTGATAAAGTAAAATGCACGTATCACATCCACACATTACTATATTTAAATACATAAATATACTAATGAAGAAAAATAATCCTATATTAAATTTTTTATAATAAAAAAACTGCGTTAATTGTACAATATTATATTGTGGAATACATATATTTACGAGAATATAAAAGTCTCTTATATTTTTTCTTAAACGTGAAATATTTCTCTTATTAGATGAGCCTGATAGAAAATATTAATATACGTAATTATTTGTAATAATTATATTGTAATATACGTACCGAAATAATTATATTAAATTGGTGTAAAAAATTTTACTTCATTTACTAATTAGATCTAACAAAAATTAAACTGATAAAAAGAACACATCGTATGTTACATTCATCACTTCTGAATATCGTTTTGCGGCAGATTAGCGGAATGCAAACGTGCGGCTTCAAGATGTGCACCATTACCTAAAACGAAATTTCAGTTAAATCACTAATTTAGAGCTCAAAAAGGGTCCCAAAAACTGCAACTCTGAAATTTGATGAATGTGAGAATCTGTGCGAACGTGTTGGCTAGTGATGAATGCGCGTGTTACATAAACAGTCGCCCATTAATTGCGTTATCGTTAGAATGAAGAAACAAAAACCGATGGCTCGATAATTAGCTCGCAATAAACTAAACGCAGGCGCAGTTGTTAAGTGTTCCGTTTTGTAAATAGCTCCACAGCGAACCATGTTAATTGCGAGAACGAGACTTGGACTTGAAGAAAATGCAAGACAAATGATAACGAAAATCAACGTACAGCAAGAACGGCCTCAAAAACGGTAGAGATATTCCGTCGACCGACACAATGGGATAACGGTGAATCAATGATGCAATTCGAGTGATAAATACAAAAACAAACGTAAATGCATATTTTTCAGTCGCAATCTTATCGATGATTACACAATTTTTTATAATTTTCGAAACATGCACAAGAACGTCAAATTGACGAATAACAAAATCTTATATGATATGGGATAATCTTATATAACATTTATGTTTAAAATACAAAATTAAATAAAAAATTGGACTAATAATTGTTAAATATCCTCAAATGAAAGTGAAAGAGTTACATTTGCAATTTATATAAATGTTTTCTATTTGTTTCTTTAAATTTTATATTTACTAAAACATATACATATGTATATTAGACAATACGTTTAAGCATTCTTTTTACGAAAATAGGCCTTGCAATTATAATAAAAATGATACACATATATATAAATAAAATATACGTGATAATTCAGTAATTTTTAATTGGATATAATATTTTCAAGATCGAAATTTGTATGTATAGAAGAATTAAATTTTATTATTTGTAATAATTTTTCATTTCCAATTGGTGTAATTTCTGATACATTATTATAAATTAATTTAAACTTAAAATTATAAAATAATTGTTAAGCTTCATATACATATACATATATATGCACACAAATATATCTTTTTTATTTAACGTAGTTTTTTATTTATTGCTTTTTACAAGTAAGATACACATAATTGTACTTTGTAACATATTTACAAAATATATTTTCCCAAAAATATTTTTAAAGATATAATACAACATTAATGGAAAGGTGACAAGATTAACTAAAAGAAAAATAAGTGTCTAAATTTG